TGTTATGACTTCACGCCGCTATCCATAATTACGCCATCTGCTGGGGCCAACACACCAACGCCATCATTAAATTATCATCACATTGATTAATAAATAATTATTCTATTCCACTCTGTAAACAGTGCTGCCTGTACACCTTTTTAAAGACAGAACTGACTATCTGTAGAACGCAGGTGTTTGTAAATTTCAATCAGTTTTGCACGAATCACACTTTCTATGGCCTGTTTCCAAAATCAAGTTTGTAAACGTGAAAAATCCACCTTCTCCACTCAACGATTCATAGTGTAGTAACGTGCAAAGCCAATATGTTGTAACACCTTTTGCTCAGTTGCTGCAATAATATTGTGCTTAACAGTGAAACCGCAGATAATTTGAAGTATATTCTGAATGAGAATAACGCATTCAAGTGTTATTCTAATGGCACGGAATGTGAAATGACTTACGACGTTGGAATGCTAAGCTTAGATCAGGTATGGGACGCGGAGTGAATGGATCATTTTGAAAGAGACGTATTGCAGTGTCAGCATGAGAGATATGCAAGTGAACCTTATACTGTGATATACTGTGAACCTACTGTGCGCATTGGACCTTCTTTGACTTTTGTTGGGATTCCCGTAAAAGTCTACCAACAACACAGGTAGAATAGACCAAGACATTTAATCTGATCCAGATCATTTTTTAAAAAAAACGGTTTCACAGCTGCAATTTATATAGGAAGATTAATGTACTCCCATTCCATAGACAACTGCGGAATAAATTGTCACCTTCATTGGCCGTTGTCTGTGTTTTAAAAATCGAAAACCTTTGGGATAAAGATTATTGGTCACTGGAGGTTTCCAGACAAAGGTTTCGAGCTCCTTATAATAAAACTGATCAAATATTAAGTTCTATTGTGAGGGCATTTATTAAATGGAAAGTACTGTACTGTAGAATGAACTATCTACGAGATCAGTTTGCACTGAGAGAGCATATTTGGAATATTTGATGTATACTTTGGCATCCTGTTTTCTCAAAGATTTCATTGACATATTGGAGAACTTCGAATTGTGTTGTCCATAGAAAAACTACAGAGCGAATATTATATTCAGAATTTTAAAATGACGGGAGGCAAATATAATATAGATATAAGGTGTTTGAGAAAATTATCAGGAATAAGCAGGAAAGTAGATCCCATTAGGCGGTTACTGTGAAGAAAAGGAACAACGTAGACGGACTTGATGCGACTGATGACCTATTTCTGTGCTGTAATATGATATGATTTCTCTGAGAATAGTATTGGAGTACTGTATGTATGAATAAAGATGGACTGAAAGGAACACAATGACTGTTGAGCTGCTGGGGTAGGGGAATGCAAACTGTGTAACGAAAGAGGCCAGGCTGAATAGGAAGATGGAGGGGGTGGATGATTATTCATGGATTCATTTACTTAATTAACTTTGTGGTTCAGGGAGTATCTATACAATTCCCCCCCCCCCCCCCCCCCCACCCCAAGAGATAGGGAGGTGGTGTGAAGTCCATGGTAGGGTTTAGGTTTGTATGACTGTGGCAAGAGTGGGCGTTAAGCGAATGATCTTTCTTATATGCATCGTTTCTTATTTTCGTATCATGTCATCTACTCGAGACCGAATCTGGGTAGGAGTCAAGATAACACAGAATGCATTTCAATTGGCACCCATCGACAGATTGCGTGCTGGAACATAGAGAACCAGTACAGTTTGTGTTGTTTGGGGGGGAGAAAAAACAGTAACGCCCTACGTCTTGGATCAATGCAGCTGATATTCAATCGTAGTATCTGTAAACGAGCTATCTACCAATTCGTAATTTTGTGTTTAACCTCGAGTTTAGCATCATTATCAGATTTTAGCCGCATTCCGCAATGATCTTAACGTTGCAGGCAATCGAGACCAGGGCAGCGTTTGAAAATGTTGTAGTTAATGAGCGGAAAACAATGAAAGGTATTTCGTGCGTAATTCTGGGGGACACGTTAACTGTTCTCACAGGTCATCTCAACCGCTTGATGATACACAGAAGGCGGTTAACACCGCCAGCGAATTCCTGGCTCTTGCCAAACACCGTGGTTCCGTTTGGTATATTGTTTTACACGTGCATTTGGGGAAAAAAATGTATTTAAATCCCGATGACAAAGCCATATGAAGTAAATCCAATGAAAGTGTGTAGGGAATACATTCTGCTCCAGCAAATTGAACAAAAAATTCCATGGTGTAAAATCATTCCAGTGTCAAACCGCCTTCGGCACATCATTTTCGGCTGATTGACTGACTGACTCAGGATGGATCTCCATATAGTAATCTAAGGCACTCGATGTTAATAGCCTTTCTGTGTAGTTATCGCTGTACATTTATTATATGTGTGGTTAAAAACATTGCAATAAAACAAACTCTTTTTTTTTACTGGGTTTCAGAAGCAGTTTGCAGAGTGTGAATATTTCACCTGTCAATGCCGAATCGGGGCTGAATTGCGGTGGCACTTTTGGTGAGACTTTTGTTTTCTGCCACGTGAACAGACGGGAGTGGGGTCGCACTGATCGAAACGGAATTCCAGCCGACAATTAGCAAATGAATAGCGCTGTAAGTACGGTTACCTCCCTCTCCATCAGCAAACGCGGGTCGTCATATTAAATTAGTTATTGGCGCGCACTGCCATTTGCAACGTGGAGACTCCGGTGGAATGGGTTTAAACTCTGAATAAAGAGTGAGCTCTGTGCGGTAAAGCACTGTTTCGAGCCTTGAACTTCAGCAGCAGCACCTGTTAGAGGAATTCAGTGGAGCAGAGACAGCTGCTGTGTTGGCCATTTCAAACTCTGTGCACATGTTAAGCGATTTTACATCGACAACTTCCAGCCAAGGTCCCAAAACAGCTTCTCTTTCATTGTATCGCAACACTGGCTGGAGTCCAAGCAATTAAGCGGCGGTAATATTATATCTCATTAATACCCTGTCACAGCGGCTGACATAAAATGTGATTTTCAGCACACAAGGCTTATCCTGGAGGTGCTAGTTTCCCCGTTGAGGAATCGCTTCCTTCATCACGTTAAGGGCCAGGAATCTCTGAACCTAAAACCCATTTTCTGCCATTGAAAATGTGCGGAATTTTATAAAACAAATCGCTGCCGTGAAGCTTCTAATACGCAGCTGATGGCGTTCTCTTAATACATAATTTGTATTCTTTGTAACTTCACGACCTTTGGTCCATCGCACACAAATGGATAGAGAGCCATTCGTGACGTTTTGACAAGAATCCCTGTGATAAATATTCAATGTGGTGACCTGCGCGGGTGTAGAAAGTGGAAGCTATTGTATTATATTGTTAAAAAAAAGTGTTTCCCGAGCAAGGGTTAATGCTGTCGAATAACACATCACACTAACAAAAAAAGAGAGATATATACAGAAATAATTGTTCGATTTCTACTGAGTTGAAAGGGTACAGTAATGATTTATCACCAGTTCACATAAATGGAATGAACTGCAATAAAGACTGAGTACTGTACCCATTAAACACGCGGGGTCTCAGTTTCAGGATAAATTCCTTCAACTATCTTAAATCCGTCCTGGGCTGATTTAGAAAGGAGAACCCTCGGTAAATATAGCCCTGTAATTACATTTTACGGAAATCAAATTAGAATTAAATAAACACGAGAGTTCAGGCGGGGGACAGCAGTCTTTGTACTTTGTTATATACTCTTCACTGCTGTTTCCAGGAAATGGATACTTGGCTTGAGAGCAACAAGTCCAAATCTCCTTTTCCCCGCTTTGCAGACGAGCATCCTCGTACATACTTTTTTTTGCTGGGTTGTAACTGCTGTAAAAGTACCTATAAACTGTGGGTGGCAGTGACAGGCGTGTTTACTTTCTGATATAACCTTGCTTTTCCAGTGTTTCCCTGGCTGACCCACGTTTGAACCTCTGGTTAGCACGGGATCATAATTTTAGGAATTCACATCTGAATGACGTTGTGGTTATTTCTCACAGTACCCAAGGCGCGGTTTAATCTGAAATTGAGGTTAACTCCAGGCCAGGCTGTTATTTTAGATAACTGTCAATCAGCCCCGGTGCCACGTCTCTCTCTCTCTCTCTCTCTCTCTGCACAGTTCTGTTCCATTGCGATTACATAATTATCTTTGCAGTGAGTTCGGTCAGTCTGACTGCAGTCTAAGAGGACGTGGAGACTTCGAGTACAAAATTCCAGTGGTATATTCACTTGGAATCGTCTCAGGCTTTGTAAGAAGACTCCCGCAGACTTCTTTTTTTTAAGAAAAAAGCAAACCCGCATTTATTATCTTTCCACTAATGTCGCAGCTAAATGCTTAACCGTTTCATACATTGCAGCACGAGTCCCCTGGTGTGAGATATAAAAGGGGGAGCAGTTATCAATCAAGTTATCGCAATAATTGTTGAATGATTTGAAAATATGACCGTTCAAACCGGAGTTCTCGCAGTCTTAATGCATTGACACATTTCAATCTTCGTGGGTTCGGTGCGTGGCGATAAATATCGTGTTTGCTATTTTATTATCGCGGTGCAAAATCTTACAAATTCATTCAGTCAACATATGCACCTCGTCAAGGTATTAATATCGTGTTCTTCGCAACCGGGTCCTGGACCAGTGACCCGACAACACACATCAACATCAACACCACTTTGATGTGCAAAAACGTAAATAATGACAAACTTCAGGTAACTCGTGGATGACAGTCCAGTTTGGGTGATATGCACACAGCATAGAGAAGAATTCCTGTCTTAATAGAACAACTAGACTGGTTACCTGGTTGGTGGAGATTAACTGAGCCCATAAAGAGTGGAACTTCTTCCCTTCTAAAAGGTACCCGACTCCTTTCTTATTCAAATGTGTCTTTTTAAGTCAGTGATATTTGAGCTGAAATGCGTAATGAAGAACCTCTGCGGCCGTGTGTCACGACTGTAATTAACCCTCTGAACAAACTGAATCCCCCCAAAAATGTGGTTAGTGTTGGGGGGGGGGGGGGGGTAAAAAAAACATGCAGTTTGACCTCTTGGAAGGATAGCTGCACTCTTGGCGAATAAAAGGTTAAAGATTTTTGCTCTGCGTCATTGAAGTAGGTGGAGTCGGAGGGATGGCACAATCTACACAATTAAAGATGAACTTTGTGTGAACTAATTTAACTGACCAAGGTAAGAGGGGGCTGAGACCTGGGAGCAGTTATAAAGAGGCTTGAACCTGGAGAGTGAACAGTTTGGCAATTCATTGCTCTCACTCACCTCATCCCGAGTGCAGCAAAAGAGCTTCAGAGAGACCGAGTGTGTCTTTAAAAGAAGTGGCGCTTCCACGTCTGTTTAACATGGTTTTATTTACACTGTTCGCTACTTTCCTGTGCACATGTGTGTTGCCGTTGTTACTGTTCCTCGCTGCTGTGAAGCTGTGGGAGGTTTACTGTATAAGCGGAAGGGACCCGAGCTGTAAAAGTCCCCTTCCTCCAGGGTCCATGGGGTTGCCCTTCCTGGGAGAAACGCTTCAGCTGGTCCTGCAGGTAAGATATTCATTTGCTGCACCAGCTTTCAAGTCTAAGAACAGTTGGAAGACTATTATTTTCTCCGAGGGAAACCTAAAATAACAGTCCAGGTAACCCGAGTTGCATTTTATCGAATACGTTAAAAGTTGGGGGTGGAGAGAAGAGAGAACATCAATTGCTTCCAACAGGTAGACACTTGCAGAGCTGTTTCAGGTAGAAAGGCAAGAACACCTGGCAAACTGGAGCAATGCAATGGGGTGTATGTGTAACACTGGAGTACAGCAGAGGGGGGAGGCAGTCTAGAGTGTTAGACGAGCACAATTTGACTCATTTGAATGCCCAGCAAACTGATTGATGTAGTAGTAAGTGTAATAAGATGACTGGCTGAAGGTTGATTCTTTTCCCACACATCTCTCCATAACATTTTTAAAAGGATATTCTTGGAGCGTTGGACAAGTGTGTTTGTGTGTGTGTGTGTGTGTGTGTGGGGGGGGTTAATGAAGAATAAATAGCTCTCATCATTAATGGCAAGTAACTTGAAACTGTGTATCTATTTTGACAGAGATACAAATTCCTGAAGATGAAAGTACAGAAATATGGCTACATCTACAAGACTCATCTTTTCGGGAGCCCCACGGTGCGAATCATGGGGGCTGAGAACGTCAAACAGATTTTATTGGGGGAACATAAACTTGTCTCGGTGCAGTGGCCAGCCTCTGTGAGGACAATCCTGGGGGCTGCCTGTCTGTCCAGCCTCCACGATTCCGAGCACAAACACAGGAAAAGAGTAAGTGCACCGTTCTCAGTAACAAAGCATGTTTTACCAGGACCATGCTCCCACATATGACCCCATTCACTTGGACATACATGTTGGTTTGCAAGGGGTCTTTCAGTCTGTAAGCTTTTTTTCCCCCCCCTTTCTAAATTTAAGTCTGAACTTAGACCCAATAAGCATAATAAAAGGAGATGCTCTCCACAGAACAGCCTGCGTTTGCATTTCATGCAAGGTTTAGCAAAATATTTTTCTTCTTGCTGCAAAATTCACGAATTGTGTTACTTCCCCCCCCCCCCCTCCCCAACCACCACCACCCCCCACTCCCCCTTCCGTGCCTGGATTAGATATCAATATAAAAGCATAAAGATAGTCTTGCCATGTCATAGATGGCTGGATGGTGGTCACATCAGAGTGGATGCATCTTCGCAGCTTTTCAGAACTGAGGTGCGAGTACGTGGGAGTTTCTTTCCTAAACTCTTTTTTTTTGTGTTGTTTCTTTTTTTTTGTGTGTGTGTGTGTGTTTGTTTGTGTGTGTGTGTGTGTGTGTGTGTGTTCGGGGTGGTTGGTGATGGTGATGGGTGGGTGGGGGGGGGTGTGCGGAAAAAAAAAAAATATAGGTCATTTTGAAAGCCTTCTCTCGAGAAGCTCTGCAGAATTACATTCCGGTGATGAGCGAGGAGATCAGGGCTGGGGTCCGGGGATGGCTGGAAGGAGCCCCCAGGGTGCTGGTTTACCCCGAGATGAAGCGGATCATGTTCGGCATCGCCATGAGGATCTTACTGGGCTTCGAGCCAGCACAGACCAACCGGGGAACGCAAGAGCAGCTGATCGAAGCCTTCGAGGAAATGATTCGCAATCTCTTCTCTCTGCCCATCGACGTGCCCTTCAGCGGCCTGTACAGGGTAAGAGACCCCCCCCCCCCCACCCCACCCCCCCACCCCCACCTCCATGGCAGCAAAGACAACACCGGTGGGAGTCGGACCCTGGGGGTTAAGGGGAATGGATGGGGGGGGGTGTGGGGTGGGATTCAGTCTGGAGACGTTTTTTTTTCCTTCCTTTCACGCCGGTGCTCTCATTATCAATACGCTCAGTATTGCCCGATTTGCCCAAAGGTCCCCGAAATCGCACGGATCGAGACCAGAAATGGTATCAAAACGAAGGCGCAACGAATAAACAAAACGCCCCCCCCCACCCCCCCCCCCCCCCCCCCATATATATTGGGTTGAATGCTTCGGGTTTCACTTCGTGCTTCCTCTTCATTCGTTCAGGATTTTGACCACTTGCTTTTGCTCCTCTGTTTGACAGGGGCTGAAGGCTCGGAATGTAATCCACGCAAAAATCGAAGAAAACATCAGGAAAAAGATGGCAAAGCGGGACACCAGCGACCAGTTCAAAGATGTTCTGCAGCTGCTGATTGAGCACTCGCAAAAGGACGATGAACCTCTGCGTTTGCAGGTAAACCCCCCCCCCCCCCCCCACCCACATCCCCCCCACCCACATCCCCCCCCCCAACCCCAACACCCCCATCCGACATATTGCACGCATCTCAGCCCCCCCTTTGCTGGCTTTCGGGAAGTTATTTGTATGTGTATATATATATATATAAGCAATAGCGAATTTAGGTCCTTCTAACCAAGTGTCTGTTGCGAGAGCGCACATCGCGACTCGATTCCATGGCTCCAGTTGGGCTCATGTTATTTTCTCTCTCTCTCTCTCTCTCTCTGTCACACACACACACGTTAGGAGTTGAAGGAATCTGCAACCGAGCTCCTGTTTGGGGGACACGAGACCACAGCGAGCACCGCCACCTCCTTAGTCATGTTTCTGGGTTTGCATCCCGAAGTCGTGCGGAAAGTCCGAAAGGAATTGCAGGAGCAGGTAAATAAATATTAAAAAAATAAAGCATCCGCCTTTTTTCCTCCATCCCTCCCTCCCTCCCTCCCTCCCTCCTTCCCTACCAATTCTCAACCGCATTTCCTCCTGTGGAGCTGAGGGATTGGGAACTGGAGAGGATCCGCGAGCAACAAGTGACAGGAGCTCAGCGCTGCACTGCTCGGCTCGGGTTGGCTCGGCTCGGGTTGGATGGGGGTCTAACGTGGCTTTTGGTGGCTTTGCAGGGATTACTGTCCAGCGACGCTCAAGAGAACAAACACATCACCATTGAAGTCCTGGAACAGCTCAAGTACACTGGAAGCGTCATCAAAGAAACGCTTCGACTGAGTCCCCCCGTCCCGGGAGGATTCCGCGTGGCCCTAAAGACCTTCGTGTTAAATGTAAGCTTTTCTTCCCCCCCCCCCCACCCCCCAAAACATTTTTTTTTTTTTTGACTTGACCATCAATGAATTATGGAAAATTTAAGCACACACCCCCCCCCCACTCCGCCCACCACCTCACAAATATTACACCGGCATGAAATCGATTCCACATGGATTGCGGTTTCGCTGTGACTTAAGGCTTCAAAGGTGAAAATGCGCTTCCAAGTTAACCCGCCTCGAATAGCTCAAAGCGGTACGGACATCATGCATCGTTTAAAGCGGGTCTTTGTCAAGTCTCGCTGATCGAGATAAGCAGTTAGGATAATTAATGCAAGCTGCCCAGAGCTTTCACTTTCAAATAGCAAATACCACTGGCCCGGCAAAACCGGGAAAATTAACTTTCATGATGGATGAGCCACTTGGTTTATCTAACAATAACTTATCAAATTTAGGTCGGCCTTCTCTGAGGAAATAATTGCAAATCTGATTTAGACGATTGAACTAGGTCCAACCTTTCGCCTGGGAAGATTCATTTGAAAGCAATAATAAACTTGGGTCAGAAGGTTGCTTACAGAAGCAGTTGATAATATCTAACAACTTGCAGCTAATTTCATGCCTGCCCTTTCACCCTTAGTCGTCTAAGGGGGCCTAATTAGGGATGACTTACATGGTCTATTTCAGATGTATTAGAGGTACAGTAATGAGGAGTAAAAAACTGAGTTTAATTCCAATATTTTAGTGACAAATTATCTGAACCTTATTTTTAACTGCAACCGAAAAATAGATATTCCTAATAGATAGAAAATGATTCCAAACATTTGATTTTCTTTGCAGGGATATCAAATCCCGAAAGGCTGGAATGTCATCTACAGTATCTGTGACACACATGACATAGCAGAAATTTTCTCCAAAAAGGATGAATTTAACCCTGACCGCTTCATGGAAGGTTGTCTGGAAAAGGATTCTTCCAGATTTGGTTATATCCCGTTCGGCGGAGGCTCTAGGAGCTGCGTGGGCAAAGAATTTGCCAAAGTCCTTCTCAAGATCTTCACAGTGGAGCTGGTGAGGACTTGCGATTGGGAGCTTTTAAATGGACCTCCGACAATGAAGACTAGTCCCACTGTGTATCCGGTGGACAATCTGCCCACAAAATTCACAGAGTTTTATGACACAGTCTGATCTTCCAGCAGACCTGCAGTCTCTCTAAACTTAATGTAGCCTTAAGTGGTATTGTATTGTCCCTTTTCAAACTCTTGTAATGTTCAACATGAGGCATTGTAATGTTTTGGGAGGGTGAGCGAAGACTCCTTCAGCAATCAGGTGGTTTTGGCTTCAATTTCATTAAATAATTGATGCTAAAGCGCATGTCCAAAGAAGGTGGCTCCAACGTTAGGTATTTTATATATATAAAGATGCTGTGATCGGCTTCGGTTTTATAAAAGGTTCCTGATCCTTTCAGATTTGGATTCACCTTACTAGATGCTTTACACTTGCACCTTTTTCAGTATGATGGTTTCATGCCAAGGATGGGAAGCAAGGAGAGGGAGAAGGTGATGAAGAAAACCTGTCAGAATATATTGTTTAATATTGTCACATATTCCTAATTGTTGCACAGATCAGTTTTTTAATGATCTGTAAATAACCAGCTATTTTATACAATTAACCTTTAGGTTTTTTGAATCTCTTGATTTAAAAATAATTTAATACTTGTAGCTTGTAATAGCTCGTAATAGGACAGTTAATTTATGATAAGTCTTGGACTGTAAATTTTTTTGTAAATTCAACAAGTACAGGCTGGGTGCGAAGCATCTTCTGAGCACAAGGTCATGCATTGAGAGGATTCATAATGTATGAGTTCCTTATATCGTGAATGTTTATCAATGATATATATATATATATAATAAATATTTTCACTGGTAGCCTGTGATTCATGTCTTTATTAGAGAAACAAATGTTGTTGACACATTGATTACATATCTAATGTTATGTCAGTATACAGTAAATTAGGCACAGTCAAACAGATATACGCAGCTAGAGCTGAAAAATAAATTGCCATCTTTTGTCTGATTCAATACTGTAATTTGATATGGCCATAGGTAGGTTTGAGAAACATCTATTGAAGACACTATTTTTATGTAATTTTTATTACAATTGATTGTTTTCCCATATCTATAATGTAACGGTTTTCCATATTTATCATGCAACATTTAGCAAACCGATCACCTCAAATAGCCATGCTTCACAATTGTACTATTCTCAATATACAAAGAAACACCTGGCCTTTCAAAACCACCTGCTAAAGGAGCTAACCAAGTTTCACAAATGCTGAGAGAAAAATCAGCAGGGCTCTGGTCATTGAGGTCAACACATTAACATGGAATCACTGATAAAAAGCCCAGTCATGACCCCGTGAACCTTGACTAACCTTGGTAAACATAGAACTCGTCACCATCCTAAACCCAGCTGATTTCCATCCTTAAAGTTAGAAGCCTGAAAACATAAGAAATGAGATCTCTTGGTCCAGCTACACAAAGCAGGGTAGGAGCTGCTGCTGATGGAGAACTGTCCTATCCATTGAAAGGACTCACAATTCGCATGGACAAATAGTTCTATAAAAAAAAACAGAAGATACAAATTTCAATACCATGAAAACGTCCAGCATATTAATAATAATAATAATAATCCTTGCATTTGATATAGCGCTTTTCACGTCGGGAGGACGTCCCAAAGCGCTTCACAGAACACACTGTAAAGTGAATTGACTGTATATTTGTGGGCGAACGCGGCAGCCAATTGCGCACAGCAATGTCCCACAAACAGTCGTAGATTGAAAATGACCAATTTAATTATTGTTTTTGGTTTTTTGGAGGGATTATTATTAGGCGTGTGGAGTAAGGAAACTTGCCCAAGGTTTCGCCCTGCCTGGAATTGAACTCAGGTCTCTCACTTGCAAAGCGAGTGCTCTAACCACTGAGCTACAGGACTCCATATTGTCTCCTTTCTTGAAACACATCGACAGAGTTCAGTCGTATTGGCAACCCAATTCAACGTTAATAATTATCCTTGCATTAAATAGTGCCTTTTTATGTCAAAACATCCTAAAGCAATTCAAAGATTTCAGTGAAGTGTAGCAATATGTTGGCAATGACTATATGTTGCCAATTTGCACACAGCATGCCATGAAGTAAATGACCAATTTTTTAAAAAAAACTGATGGCTTGTTGGCCAGGAGAAACACCTTCTTTTTCAATAGTGTCATTGGTTCTTTAACTACCATCTGAAAAGGTAGAGATTTGGGTTTAATGTCTCATCTGAATGACCAATAATGGAGTTCTCTTCCAACACTGTGCTCAAGTATTAGCCGAGACTTTGAGTTTGGAGACCCCAATGAGGGACTTGAACCCATCGTCTTCTGGCCCACAGGCAAGAGCGTTGCCAAATGAGCCAAGCTAAATCTTCATTTGTGGGGCAAGACAAATGACAGCAGGCTATTCAACAATGGGAAGGTCACAATGAGGTAAAATGTTTATACACAATATTTACATTTACAGGATTATTTATAATTGGGAATTCTGGCCATCGTCTCAGACTCTCCCAACACCAGGAACGCAGAGGTCCTGCCACTTTGCCGGAGAACCCAGAACAAAAATCAAGTGTGGGAACTTCCTGGTCTGTGACCATGCATCCTGTTTTAAAAGGCAAATAAACATTATCCCTTCTCTATTATCCACCAGATCATACGATTAATCATTGACTAGTTCTGCTCATGACCACAATGATCAGATATTTTAAATAAGCAAAGGTGCTGCCCAGGAATTGAGATGTACATAGGAAGGACACTCCCAATTCAATTCTTATAATGAAAGCATAACATGGGTTGGTTATTCAGCATGCAATGGCAATTTTCACCTTAGTGTGACCTCACATTGATATTTGTGAACTCTCCATGCAAGATTATGCAGTGGATATCAACACAAAAAAAACAAGGTCTGAGTGAGTAAATGATGACTGATAATAATCAAATTGTAGCATCATATAATCACCAGACCTCACATAGGCAATGAAAGATTTCTAATAGGGTACAGGTTTTAAAGTACTGTTTAAAAAATAGTAAGTTATACAGCATCATTAAGTTACTTTTCATTCTATGCATAATTCAGTGTAGTTACAAAGATTAGGAGCTCACAGCAGAAACCTACATGGAAAGCATTCAAAAATGTTTCACCATTTCACTGTGCTTATTTGCCTTTTATGAACATTTCACTTCTAAAGTGAAGTAAAATAGTGTGTGTACTTTATGAAAATGGACTATTTTAAGATCATGGCCATTCTCACAGAGCAATTGGGGAACCAGAGGGCAGTTCTCTTAGACCGTGCCTTCAGCTCCCCTCTCGACTCTCTATCCCCTCCTCGCTCCCTCCCTTCCCTCACCCTGACCATTTCCCTCCTGCTCGGGTCCCGACCCAGCTGTCCAGCGCCTTGGGATGTCCTCCCGACGTAAAAGGCACTCTATAAATGAAATCTTGTTGTTGTTTCCAGTTTATTATTTTTTGTCGTGGATGAATATGCACTGACACATCAGTTTTGGGTTTAAATTAAAATCTCATGATTCCACATACAACATAAAATAAGGGGCAGTTCACCAAATGTTTCACTTATCCTTGAAACGAAATTGTAAAGAGGGTCTAAGAAAAGAAAAATCTGGGATCCTACCACTGCCCCTATCCATCTACCATTGCTCTGGAAAATCTGCAGGTGGACATGAGGTGAAAACAGGAACAGCTGTGATGCCCTTTTTTCTTGCCAGATCAAAGAGCATAGTAGTACTCATTGTCTAGCTTCACACTTGAAGAATAGCTAATTACGTAATGTAATTAGGGTCTATCTGCAAGTAGCTTCAGGAGTGAAACACTCAACCCAAGCCATCTCAAGATCAAGTTTCCTAATAATTTGGGGTGAGGGAGAGAAATAAACCTAGGACACAATGCTACTCCGTGTGAAGGGCCAGGTATGAATGCAAGTAGTTGTTGGTGGAACCTAAAGCAGCAATTTCTAAACAACAGCTGTACTAAGGTCAACCAACTATAATAATAATACTTGCATTTGATATAGTGCCTTATCACCTCTTAGACACCACAAAGCTCTTCACAGAATATACTGTAAAGTGAATTGACTGTATATTTTTGTGGGTGAATCTATAGTTGCATAAGTTTCATCCACTGGATGCAGGTGCCATGTGACTGCTAAGGAGCATCATATAATGTTTGTGCTCAGACTGTTGTTGATTTTATTTTGGTCAGCTGGATGTCTGACACATGCAGAAACCCATCACCATGCTTATGCGTATCCAAACCAAGATTTCCAGGCATCCCACCTATACATGGAGATAGATTGTGGGAATGGAATGTGTACTCTCTACCTGGAGAGAGTTATTGACTGAAGATTTGCTCCCAATTAAAAGGATGTTACAAATGGAGAGAATTATATTCAAGAACAGGTTCTAACTGAGTTAATTAATAGGCATCATTGCATTTCTTTATGGCACCACCAGCTTTTCTCCATTCAGGAAGGATGCTGGCTATTAATACCATGGAGGCAGCAGGGGAACATTATAGCACATTCTACATAAGAGGTGATGATTTATCTTTTGCATGTAGTCCACTCTGATGTTTGATTGATGCTCTTCACATTCAATTTTCTATTTTTTGTTCAATGTTTGTGCCTCAAGAAGATTGTGTAGGGGAATGGAATATCTTCTCTTTCAATATCAGTAAAAGCAGCACTAGCTTCATTTAATGTGGTTTAACCCCAATTCAGGTTAGCACTTGTGTGCATTTTTTACATTTTTTATACCAGATTTCACTAGTGTGTGAGATTGCTAATTTAGCATCTCATTTGTGGCAAATTTATATGACCAATTTTTAACTACAGATATAATAATACTTGCATTTGATATAGCGCTTTTCATGTCTTCGAGACATCTCAAAGCGCTTCACAGAATAGATTGTAAAGTGAATTGACTGTATATTTGTGGGTGAAACGCGGCAGCCAATTGCATACAGCAGTGTCCCACAAACAGTCGTGGATTGAAAATGACCAATTTATTATTGTTTTGTTTTTTGGAGGGATTATTATTAGGTGTGTGGAGTAAGGAAATTTGTCCACGGTTTCGCCCTGCCTGGAATTGAACCCAAGTGTCTCACTTGCAAGGCGAGTGCTCTTAACCACTGAGCTACAGGACTCCACACCATCACTATAACCATTTCTATCCTGACATGCTTTTCACACTTTATAGCACCTCATGTCAGAATACAAATACAGTCACCACATTTTGCATAAATCCTGTGCAGTGCTTTGAGACATATTAATGATGTAAAAAGGTGCTGTATCAAATGCAAGAATTATTATCTATTATAATAGCACAAAGCATTTCACAGGTACTTTCTGTCAAGTTAGTAGCTTTTTCTGCTATTCGAATCAGCATGGTCTCACAAATAGCCTTGAAGAAAAACATCCTTAAATAACAACACATTGCACCTTAACTTCATAAATAGTATGAAATAATGTTTGCCAAAGTTCTGTAAGCAAAAGGCAACAATACAAGTGAGAAATTGAAAACCCTGGAACTGAAATAAGTTTTTAAAAAATTCCATTTTCAATGGAATGCTCTCAGGTATTCTCTGGCACCTTCCTCGATGTTCCCCGTCACTGGACCCAGGTTTCCATTCTGCATTCAATGAATAGGAACTCATCTTGTGCACTTTTCCCTCTATTCCAAGCAGTAGCATTTCAGTGCTGTACAGAGCTCTACCTAGTGGTCAGTCTAAGAACGAGAGAAACTTGTCCAATGAAGGCAGATGTGTTTAAATAAGGTTGGAATTCAAACCTAAGAGTTGAGAAATTCCTCCAGTTGCTAGAGTGATAATGATGATCACGTTGTAAATCAACAAAGGCACAAAACTTAGGGCCAAGATCATTTTTTATTGAAGCTGATTACTGTAGGGCTATGTAATTGGACATCATTGTGAAAGCCAACATTAAGAATGACCACTTGGGCAAAATATTAAACTGCTGTCACTTCATAACCATATATGGATATAGTCATTGCCTTTCAGAGAGAGTAGAAAATTTAAATAAATCTAGATCGAATGACATGAAAGCAAATTCCTTGTCCTGGGGCTGGATACTTCTGAGTGCTATGTTTAATTGGGGATGTGGGAGGTGGGGGGCGGGGGGGGAAACTGGAAAATTTCAGGTAAATTTGATGCCAAAAATGAATTGCCTGTGACGGCCTTAAAACACAAATGTACCACAAAGGTTAATTCTGGGTAAATCAAAATCAGACATGAACACATCAATTAGTACGAAAATTACTTGATTCATAGGAATGCTATACTGATAAAACTGATACAAGGGAGGGAAGAAATGCTGCTCACAGCTCAAACAAGTGACCACCTTACACTGTTCACATCCAAGAAAGAATGAATGCCGATGAATGTTATTTGAGATCATGGGACAAACTATTTCTCCTGGGATTACAAAGTCTGAGGTCTTTAGTTTTATAAATACTAGATAGACCATATTTTGGCTGCAGCTAGTATGATTCAGAGTAGAGTCAGCCCAGATAATTATTTTTAAAAAATGGCAATGGTCGAAAAAAGTTTGTAAACTAAAAAACAAATTGAATGAATTAAACAGCCATTTACATCAATACATGTTGGAAACAGCCATTTACATCAATACGTGTTGGAAATGCAAACATCCACCCAGATTTTAAACAAAGCTCTCATTGTAAGTGGAAGCAGAAAAAACACATGCAGCCACATCTTTTAAAAAGGTCAATATATTCCAAACCAGATCAAGGACAGTACTGCAGTTGCGTATTGCTATGTGCTGCTTAAAACAGGAAACTTAAGGGATGTTGAGCTTTTTTAAAAATGTTCACATTAAGCAGCACGGAGCAATATAATCCCATAATCAATGATAGTTTTCTTTAAAGAAAGAATGACAATAAAACAGCATCACTGTTTCATAGTCATTGAAAAATCTAGCCTTACATTAATAATTGTTAAACCACCAAACATCCCAGTCTTCACACTTTAACCACTTTAAATAAAACTCAAGGTCGCAAGAATTAACAAGGGGAGATGGTATACAAATTGCGCTGTAAGGTCACGAGAAGGGGTCTTGCCTTAACACAACATTGAGAGATCCAGGACTGGAACAGCGAACAGCTGGCTCGGGTTGCCATTCCTGTGCTAGCTCCACTAACTGTGATTTACTACTGTACCAATTCGAGTGTTGACACCTTTATGTCCCTCCCTCCTATCCCAGCAGGCCTGGAGGCTGTGATGGATGCTGCTGAACTTTTCCTCTTATCACCTTTAAAAGAACTTTCCCATAATCTTTTGTCTTCCGTCAAAGTGGGAAACAGAAGGGGTTTTATTTAATTTAAATTAACAGCTCTGTTGCTCTAACATTGTAGCAATATACAGAATTTATTACACCAGTGAAATTCTTAAACTCCAATTTCTTTTTTTTCTACCCAATGAACTGAACATAGTCCAGAGTAAATCAATGTAATTGCTGCTCGTCCAACATTATTGTAGCAATACTTTATTCTGAGCACCATTGGTAATTTGGTGTACAGAATTGAAAATGTTAAGATAATGGGGGTGGTGGGGGCCGCTGGGGGAAGAACTCAAGTTACCAACATTAACTCTTCAATTGCTGATACAATGCAAGTTATGTTGAGGATCAATTTTACAGTCAGCCAGATAAAGTATTAGTTAAGCTATAAATAATGAAAGCAATGTACAATTGTTTCTATTATGTAGAGGCAAAATCCAGCAAATCAGTTTTTTTTTCCTTTCAGTTCGTTGAATTCCTCACCCTCACCCCTTTAAGGTAGCTTGGCAATGGTAGTAAAGTACTGGGCTCCCATTGAGGGATTCTAAATTTTAATTGGAGCAAACCCCAGCATTAAAACACAAGGCAGCCTGCAGGAACATATTTCACCATTTTTGTCTACGTAAGATTCAACATCTCAGGGAGACAAACTCCATGAGGCAAAGTAGGTCAATAGAATTGTTAATATAACAATGGGGAAGCCCAGATTATCCCACACTCATTTAAATCCAACGAGGAAAAGTTGGTCTAGGAGAATAAAGATTTCCTTTTAATTCAATTTTGAATTAGAGCTGTTCTTTGTGCAAATCAACACCTGCTTCATTCAGCATTTTCAGAATTCAATAACTTGAATTGGTTTGTATAATTTGTTCTTTATGAATGTTAGATAGGATAAAAAAAATGCTAACACAATTGTCAACTCTGTCAATCAATACCCGAGTATGTAGTCTGGTAACTATCGTTGCAATATCAAAACTATTTACTACTTATCAATTTTCTTTTACATCCTAACCCAAACAATTAAGCTCTCCACAGAATAGTTTAAAATTGGACTGGGGCTTTTGTAAAGAAAATAAAGGATATAAAACGTGTTCACTTTGGTCAATGAGGAAGTGGCATACATATGTGGAACGCTATCTGGCTTGGATACTCTTAAAGCATGGTGTGTGTCATGTTGAACCATTTGATTTCATCCTACCATCCTTGGGTTACAGGCTATTTCTTAAATGAGTCCAGCATCCCTGTTACAGGTATTACTTATCCTTGGAGTAAAAAAAATACTCCTGGTATCTGTCTCGAAATTGTCCTTTGCAATCCTGAACCCATGGCCTTCTTGTGCTACTTGTATCTGAATGTACTGTTCTATCTTTACTTTCTCATTTCCATTTAGAATATTTTATGCCTCTATAAGGTCCCCACTGAGATGCGTTTGTTCAAGACTGAGCAGCCCTGACTTGCCTAATAGTTGCTCATACATAACTCATTCCTCTAACAGAGGGGAGTGACTGCTCCCTCATTGCTCTCTTCTGCACTGCTCTAGGCAGGCCTGTTAGGTTGCTGCAACCAAACATGTATGCAACTCCAAGTTCAGCCTGATCAGAGATCTTTACAGCTTGAGCATAGCTTCTGGGGCATTCTAAACTCACCCTGGGTGATTTGGCAACATCAGCCAGGATCCCGTCTTGTTTATTGCTGCCTTTCAATGAAGTTACCTACAGCCTATTATAAAACATTTAAGTTGGAACAAACCTGCTGTGAATAAATCTATTTTGGATTTAATTTTTTGTTGGCCATGAATTAAAAGCCCAAACTTCAGCTTAATCTAGGATATTCTAGATATTAAATAAACCTTGCCAAAATAATACTGTAGTACCAACTCTCAATGTAATGGATGACAATATTCACCATTAAGGTCCAGTTAAAAGGTAAGCAAAATCTATCATTAACTTACCTATCAAATATTACAAACATTTATGAACTCAATATAAAAAGCACATACACAAAAAAACTACTACTCAGTTGCTTTTCAGTTTCTCTACTTACCGGCAATGAATAGAAGAAGATTGCAAGGAACAGAACTACAAATATGAGTATGATGAGACCAATAAAGACCCATTTGAATCGACGCCAGATTATGTACTTCATTGTTTTGCAAGGACTCGTGAACCACAGGAATGACGTTGCTGGACGGCTACATATAAAAAGGTAAATGATTAATTTCATTTAACTGCAATCTGGTTTACAATAGTTAGAATGACTGAAACAAGGAACCAAATCATTTCTTCCCTCTTCTTCCACCATCCTCCATGAAGTGAATGACCAAATTTTATTTGAGGGATTGCTCGTTAGGGCACCAAGAGAAACTCCCTTCTCTTTTCAAATTATGTCATGGAATCTTTAACTTCCACTTGAAAAGGCAGATAGGACCCTGATTTTAACATCTCATCTGAAGCATTACAATGCAATAATCCCCAGTACTGTACTGGAGTATCAGTCTAGATGAACTCAAAGTCCCTACGCGGGGCTTGAACACATCCAAATTTGGATTGCCCTCAATTTTCCTTTCTCATTTTGCAGTTACCTCTCAATTTTCTCCACTGTACATTACAGCTGAGAAGGCAACATATGAACTGCTTGCTCCCATATTTTTTCCCATGTTCCTCTTAGGCATCCTGGTGATATGAATGATTACTGCTCTCACACACCAGACAGCAGAATGACTGATACCGGAAACTCAGTGTGCGTTCTTCAACTAAGCATGCCTCATTAATGTAGCCCAGCATGCCAGATCTCTAATACCCATTACATTTGAATGAATCAGAATAGAAATCAAATGAACTCCTTAGTTTGACTACAGAAAGTAGGTGAAATTCTTGGACGACAGAACGGCTTGGTTCTTCCCAAGTTATCAGTCTACCCACTGGAAGCCAGCTAGCTGGAGGGAATGAATGTCCTGCTCATATGCACATTGGATGTCAGACAACTGATACTGGCCACAGACTTTTGATGTTAAATACAACTCAGCCAAGTCGGTGCCAGAGTAACAGGCCACCTCAGGCATTTGTTCCATGGCAGCACACATTTAAATGCGTGCTAAAAGCACTAAAATAACTGAAGCAGCTCCAATAATCTGTTCCCAACATTTCCATAGACAAAGCTGAACTACAGCTCGAGGCAACTTGTGATGTTGAATTCTACCTTGTTCTTGGAAATCTAATAGGATTGCTGGGAAACATGGATATCCTGAGCAGGATGAAAATATGGGAAAATGAAAATATTGGAAGGAGAGAACTTGTCCAAATCTGTAACTGGTGGAAGATGACCAATATATTCTAATGAATATAGGGGGAAAGTTATTTTATACACAGGATATTCCAGCAGACTGGACAAATGTAGACAACAGTAAATTCATGCCAATTAACAAGTAAATGTTTGAAATGGTGAATTGCTAACAATCTAATTTTTTTTGCTTAAATTACAAAGAATTACAAAGTTAACTGCTGTTCTTATTTCTGATAGTTCAAAGAACATAACTTTCAACTAGCCACCATCTCTGAGCACAAATCAATAGAACACTTAAATGTAAATACTGATTTCATGAAATAAGAGAAGGTAAAAAGCCCTTTTCTTTTCACTTGAAAGACTGGATTTAAAGCGTTTAAGTGGCTAGTATTTCAAGGCTTAAAATATAGAAGCCCATTGTGTTCATAAATTATCCAATTTTTGTAGAAAGTGTTAATTTTAAAAAAGACAACTCACTTTGGAAGCTCTAATTTTGGGTTCATGTTGGGTTCATCTCTTCCTTTGCCAGCAGGTCTCTCCTCAACCTCTTGTTCAGAGACAATCTCCAGTGACATTTCAATTTTACCCTGGAAAACAGAAAAGGAAAAAAAATCCCTGCTCAATAAGTTGTCTAACCAGAGTGGGATTCAGAGATAAGTGATACTGTTAACTTTAAATTACCAGACTTCTAGTATTACCTCAGCCTTTTAAAAGCAGAACACTATTCAATCCCTTTAGAGGCTCAGCCTGATCTCTTAAAGTTTACTGAAGCAGGTATACAATCCTGAATTGGGAGGAGGCCTATTTAAGTGACACTGTCAATTAGTTAACCAAACAGTTGTTCTAAAAGGTTTGCCTGTTATTCAAGCCTTATACTTAATTAGAGGAATGCATGTGTTTTTACTAAATAAAAGGGGAAAAGATTAAGCCCTTTAACAAGATGCCAAATATTATTACTGAACTGATTAAATTAAGGCATTTCATGGCAATGCTGAACATACACTCAGCTCTTGACCGTTTAAGCCATCAATCAAGTAGCCTTTTAGATTTCTTATGATTTCATGCAGATGACAATCTTGCCAGTTTTCTCTGTAGGGATAACATGCATCTCAGCTCTTTGAAACATTGCAGAATAAATATAAGTGCACTGAAGTCTGGTTCAGAGTAAACAACACACACTGTTCAGTGCATTACACCAGGGAATCAAATTGAAGTAACAGTAGTGAAAAATTCAGAACACATGGCAAAATGTAAAAGATACAGATAAATGGACGTTCTTGTTGACATTCCAGACAGATGTTGAGCTGTTTAAGCTTCTTTACAAAACAGATGTGCATACAGAAGTTGCATCAATATGTAACTTCTTTTCTTCTAAATGTACATATACACAACAAAGTATTACACATTTTTTTAAATCTGAAGATTACCTTTGAATCCTATTTGTAGACTTTCCCAAAATACTACTTTCTGAAGAAACTGGTAATTTAGTAATGGGCTTTAGTTTTGATAATATACTTACATCATCAAATCCAAGGACTCGGTGTCCATATTTCAGTCTTGAAAAATCAAGCAATTTCAAACCATAATCATTTAAACTTCAACAATCTTGGATTTATTCAATGGGATTCCATGATTTTTGGAAAGCATCAAAGTATACACCATGGCACAAAACAGCTTATAAAACCTGCCAGTATTTCATTTCTAAACCATAATAAAATTTAATTTGCAGGTTTGAAATGAGTAATGTTAATCCCAAGGATTACGTTTTAGCAGCCTTTCTCAATACATATGTAACTTGCCAGTTAAAGAGCAGTTAAAGCAAGCAGTCATTTCCAGGGAACACAATGAGAAAAATCAGGCATTCCACAGTTGATAAAATCATAAGAAAAAAAATCTTTACACCACCCCTTCCCATCTCTTGAATGCAATTCACTTCCCAAGTTGACCCAAGTTGAACCTGTTGACAGTAATTTAATTACTAGGCTCACACATGGCGAATAACCAAAATATGAGTGGGTGCCAGTGAGTATAAATCTGTACTACCGCAAAATTTCCTCTGCTTTCCCTTGCGCCCCCCCACACCACCAAATAATCAAAGTAGTTCACATTTGCCTCATATTGAGGCAAACTAGGAATAAAAAAATTCAGTCAAGTTAGATGCTTTTACTGAAAATAAAAATCACAATGTTTAAGCTTCTTACAGCCAGAATGCGCTTGCCATCTTTTTCTTGAGTGCATGGCCACCATCCTCTCATAGACTTTTGGGAGAAAAGAGAGGCAGTTTTTCCTGCTTTAGGGTCACCTCCCTTCTCTGGCAGCATGCTCAAGTTGCATCCTTTAGCTGTTTTTGCTGGAGATATGGTGGAATTCAGATCTAGCTCAATAGCACCTGCGAATTTGAGACGAAGTCACAAATGTAACAAAAAACATGTTAGGGAATCTGTTAGCTGATGCACTTCAATTTTACCCACTGAGCCACAGACTTCTAAACTCACCAACTCTTTTTTGATACATCCCATTATTCATAAAACACTTATATTTAAATATTTAGTGTTTGAAATGTTTTGGTCTTAAGGCATCTAAAATAGCCTTGTGCTTTCCTTTAGATGTTGATGATTCGTGAGAGTCCAGGAAATAAACACATCATGTTAATAATCAACAGATTATTCTCCCTCTGGATAAATGTCTTCATTCCCTTACGGCCTTTCTGCAATCTTAAACCATTTGATACAGTCAATTATGTGGTAAACCGTGAAATTCATGGCAGCGAGAGACCAAACTGCTACTCAGAAAAATAGTTAACACAGGAGCAGGAAAAAACCCTGACGAATTAGAGGACTGTCCAATGACAACATGCATTTTATAACCATAGTAATAACTAGAAGCTTAACAGTGCAGGGTGGAATTAAATTAACACAGACTTAATACAACTCAGTTGCTGACTGTGATAGAGCCAAACAATTTCTTTAGGACCTGTCAACAAGCTAACGTTATCTGCTGCAAGTTAAAAATTAATTCTGAAGAGTAATCTCTCATCGTGTCACCTCAAGATTGCAACTGACTGATATTACCGTCCATTTCTTGTGCCAGTCAGGAACCAGGGACTGAGAAATATCCAGAAAAAGAGGTGGAGCAGCCAGATAGAAAACATTCCCCTCTGCAAAAGAGATTTTTACTGATCCTTCTAGTCTTCTCCCTTATTCTTCTAAAGGCACAGATACAGGTTACTGTACAGCAAGCCTTGTTCAAGTAGTCATTCTTCATATGTGATCTTAGATAGTGTGCTCCAAGATAGTATCCTGGATAAAGTACATTATATAAATGCAAGGTTTTGTTGTTTTAGAAGGGCATATCGTTTGTGTGTGTGCCCGTACATCAGTTGGGCCCATTTCAGTTCCCAGATATCCATTGTAAAATCCCCTATAACTGATATGAGCTAACAGCACAGGGATCAAGCCTGTCACCGGGTTCTGCAAACATCTTTTCAATCGTCATTGAGAGCGGCTATGCAAAAATAAGTGTGCACTTCTGTGTTCAGAATTGCAGCGGTTTGACTAAAATTTCTGTGTCTCTGCAGATACATACTGGGTATTGTTTCACAAGCCACCAGTACCAGCCACTCCAACCAGATAACCATTCGGGTGACAAGCACGTGACAAGTTTTTTTTTAATGGGGGGAAAGGGTGGGAGGGGCAGGGGAGGTTGGGGTGAAAAGAAAGAGAAAAAATATTTCAAGCAAGAAAGATGTCTCATCTTACAATGCACTGTGCCCTTTCCAGCAGGAGCAGAGATGGGAAAACAAATTGGGTGGCACCAAATAATTTTTGCACCAGTTATTTCTTGTAAATTCCTATGGCAAAAAATACCACCAATATAAAACCACATATTTGCTGGATTTATATGCAAAAAAACCTAAAGTACTCAACTACTTTCAAACATGGTTTGCAACTCATTAGCCAATTGTATCCTGGGTCTCGTCTGTATGCACCCAGGGATGGCAGTCTCAGTAGCTGAAAGGACACCATTCACTACAGCTAAGGAAGATCCATGAAATCAACTGGCCTGCTACCCAAAAAAAGAGAAAAGGGCAGAGAACAAAGTCATCTGATATTTAGGTTTTGCTCTAGGTCTCCAATAATCAGTAGACAGGTTGTTCATGTAAAGCCTGAATCAGATTAAAATTTCCATCAAGTTTCTTTCCATTGTCCTGCCCCTCTCCCTGTCCTCCACTTCCCCTATCAAATCATATACAAATCATCCCGAACCCAGGATTTTTAAAAACAAAAAAGTTGTCTTACATAATCTCTATGCGAACATTAGTCTTTGTGTGGCAAGAGAAATAGCCTAACTTGCTAGAACAGACGGGTATGTAATTAGTACCGTTAGCTCAGGACACACAGCTTCCTGAAAGAAGCTTTGTGCTGTGTTGGAAACAATAGGACTTGCTTGTCAAACTCAATTCAACTCCCAAAATAGGGCAAGAGACAAAAAGAATACTCACATGCCTATAAATGAGAATTAAGGAATTAAACAAAGGTAGGTTACAACATGTACTTCTGGATCAACACTATTAGAGGAAAGATCACATAGAATGTAATCATAGGAATTTAAATGAATGGATTACATTCATAGGTTAAATGCTATAATTATGGGGCTACTCACTTCTTGGTTTACATAATAATAGAGTTAAATAGAGTTAAATACTTATTGTTTTGTCAGGAAAAGGGCCAAAGAAGGTGTGAAAATTAGATGAATTTGCATGTTGAATTTTCAGTAAATTAGGACTAGCTCATGGCTGAACATGTTTCACAGAAAAAGATACATGTGAATTGTGAATAGGAGTAATATTTCTCCAGTGGTGCTTCATAAGATTCATTTTCTTGTGGTACTGAGGTAGCAGTATCATAAGCATTTTAATATTTAAGAAAGTAATTACAGTGTAAGAAATATTTAAAGGGAGCAATTTAAGGTTTTGTAGTCATTTGGAGTAAACAGTGATGAAGTATTCAATGTTATAAAGTGATAGCTTTACCTGACATTAAAAGCTCATTTGGCAGAATGGAGTTCAGTCAAATAACTCATACATTTATACAAAAAAGGATAGCAAGGTTTGCACCTTTAGATACTCACATGCATTCCTTACCTTCAGGAGATTGTACTTGATTAACGTATTTATTGCCACATTATTAAAATTAGGCAATTTATGGCATTACTTCAGGTTATCAATTGCAGGTTAAGCAGAGCAAGATAAATAGTGACAGGAATTGCATACCCAAGTAATCATCCATAGAAAATTTATCATTGTCCCATATTTGAAGGATTAGTTTTGGTGGTATCCTAAACTCAGTATTGTCAAGGCTCCAAAAGTGTTCCTGGAACAAAACAAAATAAGTGAATTATTCTTTTCCCCTTTTTTTCGTTTTTTAAAAAATGCAAAGAGATCAGTGGGGATTTAAACATTGTACATAGAATACTGGAGATTATTCAGAGATGCAGGCAGCAAAACACATTAACATAACGATTGGTGCCCTTTTGTTAATGTTCATTCATAATGAGGTAGTCCTTAACTTTAATGAAATCAGATGTAGGCAGATTCTTGTAAATAAGGAGGAAAATTGTTTGGCAATAGAGGGTACACCCTCAACACCTGGTTTAAAAACACACAACCAGCTGTACACAGTCAAATTAGAGGGAGCTAAGAAGAAAGCCAGCAGGAGTACAAAGTACGAAAGCTAAAGGGTCACTCTAATATGATGTATTTTCAGGTCCAAAGAAAGGTAGGGGTCAGTTAGAAGTGACCTTTGCTAGCTCCAACCATGGAATACATTTCTACGTGTTGTAGTATTCCCACAGAAGACTGCATAAATAACTGCTCAGCAAGGGTTACACTCACATGGCTGTTAGTATGAATAGAGAGAGTGTATGCTTATAAACAAGAGGAAATGGGCTAGGGTGGAGGACAATAGATCTCCCTATGGGAACCTTTTTCAAAAGCCGAACTAGTTACAAACCAATGCAACTGCCCTGTGGGGATAGGAGCACTCAGCAATTACTGTACTTGAACCTGCACATTCCATAGAAAGTGCATTACCCTATGGGATTGACTTTGTCCTCTTGTGAGCAGAGTATACAAAAAGTTAAAACTGAACTTCAGACAGACTTTCAACCCTCCCAACTACATGCTGATTTCCTCACATACATTTCATGTTCTACATGGTAATGTTGATGTGAACCATTTATTAAGATAATCTGTAGGATTTAAGAGCTGTCTGAAGAATTTCACACATCGTTATGACCCTTCAATACCCACGGATGAATGCTCTCTCATTCAGGAACCCACCTTCTTGGACACAACACAAAGCTGTTCAGCTGGGAGGAACTCAAATGGGAAAACAAATCTCCAGTTAAAATTCCCTTCTCCTCCCATTGACCTGTAATGCACATCTGTCTTCTGCTTCTGGTCTTCAAGCCCAGCCATCCAGCTGCAAAGAATTCAGAGATATCTTGAAATAAAATACAAGATGCTATAACATTAAAAAATATATAAACGAGAGAAAGAAATACTATTCTAAATGTTTCCCTGAAATTGCTACCATGCTGTTTGTTTTGTGAATAGTTTAAAAAAAAGAAATTTAACTTCATGGACAGTGACTTGAACACATCTATATTGCGATTCCATTTTTCAGTAAAGCATTTTGTAAACGACAGCCAACAGAAATGGTACATTAAACTGCAGGGATCCCAGAACAGCAGGAATTTTGATTCAGAGCAGGAAACTCCCTCAGTACAGGGCATAAAACAAAATTAAAATCTGCTGCCTCTTGACCTACAAGGCTTGGGCCTGAATCCAGCCAAATGAGTCTTCTAATCCCTGTTGACTTTATGAGTCCTATATGAAATGAGTTTGACTGGGCATGGGCCAGGAGCACAGAGCTGCCAACAATTTTTGCACAAATGAACTCTAAACTGGCATGGTTACTCAAAGAGGCCATAGATAGTTTGTGTGAAAAAAAATGAGGGAAGGAGAGAAGAAAGGAAATCACTGGAGCAGAAGGGGACTAGATTCAGGCATATTACAGAAGTAGAAAAGAAGGCCATGCCTGACCTAGGAGTGCATGGTGCCAATATTGGATTGTTCTCCTCTCCACCATTGGTAATCCCTTAGTTTTTATAAACATTTCTAAGAAAACTGTTCCCTTCTTTGAAAATCTCCCTCTATGTTCGTTAAGCATCTCTGGGACATCCTCCCCTGGTGAGAGCCACTATACCAAATGTAAGGATTATGTTTATTAGCTGCTTCTATGAAATTGAGACTCACAAATCTGCTCAATGCTGCTTGGATTTGGTGGTGGGGGTGGGGCGGGGAGAGAAGAGAAGGGGAAGAAAGATGGAAAATAGCCAGGGTTGCTGGTCCAAAATTGACCCCTTCAGAAAGTGCATGCATTTGGATGGCCTCCACAAACAAGTTATCTCAGCTCATAAGAGAATGATCATTCAGACGAGGGACCAAAGAGCAACGAGCACCTCTGCGAGTATGTCAGCATAAACAGGACCTTCAGAAGAATCTCCCCTGCCATCCAGGAAACATTTTCTTGGTTTTAATCTACTGCTCTATAGCATAAGTGAATGGAATAACAGTACTGATGAAACACTGACAGAACCAGTATTATAGTGATTTTTGCTAGCACAAAGTAACGTCTGCTTTACATTACAGCATTGCCAACTACGCAAACTTAAACACAAACAGATTGCCATAAATGTAAAGAGTGTGACACTCTTGCCTCTAGAGAAGCCAAGGTCCACTTTCAAAGGCAGCAGCTTAGCAGGTGGAAAAAAAAAAGCTTCTCATCCTGCCTCTCTCTTCCTGGCCACAGGTGGGCTGAGCTCTCAGCCAGCAGGAAATACCTGTTAGCTAGGAAAGGAACATAGTCAGACTGTACGTGTGAATTTGTGCATGTTCTGTTTGACTATTGTTCTTGTGCTGTGAAATCAGTTACCCATTATATCCTTTGGGAAGGAATGACAATCTCCCATTGTCCTTAAAATACATAAAAATTGTATCCAGCCTTAGTCAGTTGTATTCAAACATTCAGATGTGGCTATACTTTCCATCATTAGATGGACTGCAGTCGAATCTTACGGCTCATACCTCCCAACAGCGATTGATCAGGAGCTTGGTTTGGGAGATACGTAGCTTTCAGTTCTTACCCTGGGTACACGAGTTGCAAGTCTTTTCAGTAACGTTATTATTTTGACTGTTACATAGCACACATCAGCCTTGACTCAATGTCCCCCTTTCTGTTCAACAAGTCAAATGGCCATCCAGGGCAGCGGAATCTGTTCTGTATGATGGAGGCTGTGAGGATTATACTATATGAGTGAACTTTAGAAATATGCAATAGATAGCCTTTTGTAATTCAATGAGTTTCTCAATTTCCCATGTAATACCTGCTTTGACAATTGATAAAGTGGAGGCTTGCAGTGATTCAGTATGTGGAGAATCAGCACATGGTCAGAGGACAAGGAATATCAATAAAAAAAAATGAATTGTGGAAATCTGATATGAAACCAAAAAATGCTGGAAACACAGGTCAATTAGTTACTGAAACAAATAAAATGGGCTTAGGTTTCAGGTGTGACCCTTCGCCAGAGTGGATCAACCTGCTGTCCATTTCGAGCATCTTCTGTGGATAAGGATTGAGATCAAGAACTTAAAGACTTGAGATTCAAAGTGAATGCCTCCCAGCTGCTTTCACATATCTCAGAGTTGGCTCAGAGCTGAATTAGACACTTGGATACAGTTTGTGCGATCGCCTTTTCAGCTTTAGTTGGTGGTGCATTACTCTGGGACAGAAGAAATGTGCTTTTTTATTTCCCCAATAGAAGGTTGAGCTGTCTAAGAAATTACTGTCCAATATAGTGACTTTGCAAGCAAACAAGCCAGCTATTTTATGTACTGTATACCACCTATAGTATTAATATGAATGGCAACTATCATGTTTTGGCCAGGACACTAGGAATAATTCCCTTCTCTTTTCATATAGTATGAAGGATCTTTAATGCCTATTGGAATAGGCATTTGGGACCTTGGTTAACTCCAAATCCATAACCTTCTGACTCAGTTGGTAGCAGATGCCTGAAACTATAAGCACTAGCAGTTTCTATTTTAATTTGAGATTTTCTGGTTAAAAACTTGGCACCTAACTTGTATGTTACACAGGAATGCAGTAACTAGAACCAATTTCACACTCCTGAATTCATAAAAATGCAGTAAGTTGCAATTGAAATATTGATAAACTCAGCTGCTCCTTACCCCCATTAAAAACAGGAAATACTGGCGGAATCTGCAAAAAGAGTCAATGTTATTTGGCATTAAATATTTAAGCAGCTGTTTTACCTTCTACACACAGGACTTCTGGGAAATGAAACCCATTCTTCAAATTGACCTTTTGTACCGTTATGCAATACGGGGCAATATAAAAAAAAGCAGTATTGTGCAAGGATTTTTTTTAGAAATATTGCAGTTAAACAATGAAGGGCATCAGTTTTTAATTTAAAAAAATTTAAGTTATAGTTCATTACGTTGTAAGTTCATTTAACTTCAACCCAATCTGTCAAAGCAGTAATCTTGTTAGGAGATGGGTGGTAAAATTACATTGAAGATATCAGGCATTTGAATCAGTCAGGGCAGTGCAATATAAATTCTCAGTTTGGGCAGAATAAGAGATTCACTTCACCTGGCAGATTAAAAACATGTCACATTTTATTTTATTATTTCAATGTGGAGGGCTAAACTTTGCATGCATATTGATTAAATTCATGTGTTACCCATGCATATTAAGGGACACTGACTCTTAAATGGTCAAGCATTCTACACTTAACAATGGTCAAAGACTCCTGTCTGCATGATTTCAGAAGCCTGTCACTAATACCTTCCCAAGTTATTACATCTGGCAATAAACAACTCTCCCTGTGTTGAGGAATAAACTCTAGCCTTGCTAACAAATGATTACAAAAAACTAACACAAGCTGCTGTCCAAAATCCATTGTGAACACATTCAACATGCTCCATCGTGAACACACTCAAAACTTGAAAGCCCACAAGTAATACAGAATTTGTGATCAGTAAATTAGAAACTGATTTCAAAAGTTAAATCTTAAACACGGCCAGTCACAGAACGGTTGTTATATATTCTGAAATGCATGGTTATTCAACGGACCTGCACAAATTCCATTCTTCCTTAACTAATCAGTGCTAGAGAGACACTGGCCTGAGATTATTCTTCCACGTTAATAATAATATGTTCATTCATTCCTGGACTACAGTCCAGAAGACCAGAAACACCATGACTTGGGTTGCAATCTCACTGACCTTGAGAGTTGTGACTACCGATTGGAAGCAAAAGGAGCACCTCAGCAGCACTTTCCTCTTAGTGGCAAAGAGTTACTTCCTATCAATGTGATGGTGTGCAAACCCCATCACCCAAATATGCATGGCTGAACATCTCTGGTTATATACAACAAACAATACTTGTGATGCTTTTGTGGGCTCTGTGGTAACTGGGGAAATACCGGACAGTTTGGGGTAAATCTTGAAGGAACAGCACCATCCGAGGAGGGGGAAACTCAATCATGACTCAACAGAAGACTCACTGACAGAATTTGAATCACTGAGGACCATCAGTCAGGGTAAAAAGGAAACCCAATTTCCAGTCAAGCATTGTTTCAACCATCGACCACCAACAACAAACTGCATTTATATTGAACCTTTGACATACTTTGCTCTCAACACATACAGAACCTCACCAAAATAAATTGATTTCCTGGGATCAAAATGTCCAAATGTATATAGTATGTCAGTTTGTAGATGTACGTTATCATTTGAGAAAAAATTAAAACAATGCTACCCCTACAATCAATTCAGTAATGTGTAAGACAGCAGCAAAAATAATTTTTTCTCATTGTAAAAATATTACTCATTTCTTGACAGTTTAATTGAATGTTAAAAGGAAGTGTTAATAATAATAATAATTCTTGCATTTGATATAGCTCTTTTCACGTCGGGAGGACGTCCCAAAGCGCTTCACAGAACACACTGTAAAGTGAATTGACTGTATATTTGTGGGCGAACGCGGCAGCCAATTGCGCACAGCACTTTAATCACTGGGGACCATCAGTCAGGGTAAAAAGAACACTTAAAGTGTTCACTTTAAAGGTTGATTTAAATTAGATTTAAATTTATTCACAGGTTAGACAAGCTTCCAACAAAATATTACTAGCTGCTATTTGTTTAATCTTAAACCATTTATATTATTTTCAGCCTTAGTCTGTTGCTCTATGGGCATTGGCCCTTCACCTAGGTTTCTCATTAAAACAGTTATCTGTGAGCAATATCATCGTCTATTGCAAATTTACAAGGTCACTATAACTAAAATATTGTCTGCATGTCCTTGTTAAATCAATAACACATTAATGTTGTATA